TATAGAACTTCTATACACAATCAGAATACTAACAATATAGAACTTCTATACACAGTCAGAATACTAACAATATAGAACTTCTATACACAGTCAGAATACTAAAATTGTTATTTTTAACATCACTCAGGTCACGTGGTTAATGTCACGTGAAACAGAATATTTAATTCTTAATTTAGCATACTTATGACAACGGGCCACATTGTGGCTAATGTCACGTGAAACAGAATATTTAATTCTTAATTTAACTTATGATACTGGGTCACGTAGTTGTTAATGTCACGTGAAACAGAATATTTAATTCTTAATTTAGCTCACTTATGACAACGGGTCACGTTGTGGTTAATGTCACGTGAAACAGAATATGTAATTCTTAATTTAGCTTACTTATGACAACGGGTCACGTTGTGGTTAATGTCACGTGAAACAGAATATTTAATTCTTAATTTAACTTATGATGCTGGGTCACGTTGTGGCTAATGCCACGTGAAATATAACAATTAGTTTATAATTTGGCCCAATTTATGATATCGATCTGTTCTGTAAGGTCCTAATCGTTCAGTTCGATTCTTCGCGGTAGACAGAGCGCAGAGGGCAGATTGTGTAGCTTTGCGCTGGTTTTTGAACTTTTGAATATTATAGTGGGGGCGTGCGTGTGAATATTGTAAATATCTACAAGTGGACTTATAGATTTCGGTGTCTACGATTAGAATTCTTTTGAATTATTATAAAAATCCTGTATTTAAAGAAGTACTGTTGCAATAAAGACACTAACTTGACTGAAAATGTTTAGCGGGTCTTTGCTAGTAATAAACTGTTGCAGAAAAATGTGTAGAAATATCACACAAAACCCTTTCCAAAGGTCCGACCAAGTTGGCTTACCAACAAAAATAAGTACCTGTTGTCAGCCTAGCTAGTTACAGTCTTAATTAATTACTTTTCAAGTACATGGTAATGTCAAGAAGCCAGTTTACTGTTGTTCGACAGATAAGGAGGTCAGTTTTTGTGTTCATTTTGTTTTTTCGGTGGATACTTAAAATATTATAAATGAACTAATACCAAATGGTAGACAAACCTTTTAGCTAATGTTATGAACAATGACTCAAGATGGAATTACATGTTTTAACTATTATTGTTAACTAGCCGCGATCCGCTAAACATTTGCCGTAGTATTCATGCTCTTACCTTGAATTTTCCTTATTCTATCATTTTCACGCACGCCATTTAAGCTACGCTTTCTTGAAGGCATTAGGTGTTAGATCGATAAATCCTGGTCTATTTGAAAAAAATTACGCTGATAGACAAACAAATTCACATAGACGTAACTTTATTTAATAAAACTACACGTAAAGTAAACAATAAAGTAACGTAATGGTATTTATAATACTGTACAGAGTATGAAACAGTTATGAGTGTTCAGTGTATGACAGTTTTACTCGTTGAGACAAAGAAACAAAAAAAAACACGAAGAATAAACACCGTAATATAGAAAAAAGTAACTAAAAGGTGTTGATAGCTGTCTATGAGACGAACTAAAGCAAAAGTATTGCATAGTAAAGTAAATGTAAAGTTGTAGTGAAGGCAAACTTAGCTGAATATGCAGAAACGTCTGAATGCGTATTCTCTAAGTGATAAGCATATGGTTTTGAACGAGTTGCGCATGCATAATTTAGACATAAATACATCGAGAAAGCCCATTGAAATTGTATTTAGTGTAATGTTCATTTTTTAGGAAATTACACGCGTGTTAAGTGTTGTTTATGTGCAGTACTTTGCAAATAAAAAAACTAAAGTTGAAATTGAAGCTAGCCGTCACGTGATAACAACGACATTGTGACATGGTATAGCATACTCGTTGCATTAAAAAGATTGACTAAGCAAACACAGGTAAGGTAATTCTGAATGGAAAAGTCAATATGCAATCTGGACGCCTCGGAAAAAGGTCTTTCTAACTATATGATATTTGTAGCGTTTGATCGAGAATCTTGCGAGAAAAGTTCCGGACAGACAAACGCAAGCGTGTTATTTATATAGATAAATGCACTATCAAGAATACGGTAGCTCCCCCTTTTACCAGTAACTGTATTAATATTAATAAATAACATATATTAATGATTATTTTAAGCATACATTCAATGTATATAATATGTATATTATGCAAAAACAAGTCTGTTATTATATATAAAAAAATAAATCAAAATATTCTACAGCGTTATTTTAGATTTTCTTAACAACCCTAAAAAACAGTAGTTGGTTTCAAATTACAGAAACTTTAATTTTTACGTACCTTGGCAAAAGTACCCCAGAAAGCATTAGTAGTAACAAGGATTATGTACCCCCAGGAAGCATCAATGATTACATACCCCAGAAAACATTAGTGGTGACACGGATTATGTACCCCCAGGAAGCATCAATGATTACATACCCCAGAAAACATTAGTGGTGACACGGATTATGTACCCCCAGGAAGTATCAATGGTTACATACCCCAGCAAATAATAATAGTTACTTACCCTATAAAATATCAGTGGTAATACGAGTTATGTACCCCCGGAAACATCCCTGGTTACAAACCCTAAGAAATGTTCTCATATTGTACTATAAGCGTCTTCATCTTTACAGAATATCCATATCAGCAACTTTCGTTTCATGGGCTACTACTGTCAACTAAACGTTTCGTCTCTCACCTGACAGAATCTTCGGTAGAACGTTTACAAATCACACAGAGTTAGACTGTATCACACTGATCCTACCTCAACATATTTACGTTAGTCTATTAATGTTTCTTTTCTTACAATCTACCCTCACAGGTCCACATCGTGTCAAGGTTCATTATGAATGGCGTATGTGTCCGATGGAGAGGATGGCTTGACCTTCACCAGCTGGATGGAATCGGATATCTGGAATATGATGAAGAGCAAGCTCAGGTAGGAAATTTATCAAAATATGCTGGAAAAATGAAATCGTATGTTTAACCCCATCCAATGTTCTACTTCTAGTGTTACTAACATTGGATGGGGTTAAACATTTTATTTCTCTCAAATGTGGCTGTCTGCAGGTTATGTTAAAACTTCGTTTTAGGGCTAGCTTATATAGTTTTTAAAGTTTACAAATTGTAGTGCTCACATTAATTCATTTCCATATTGAATTATGGCTAAAACAATGACAATTTAATAAAACACTGATTACACATTGTTTTGTATATCCGATATTTTAAATTGTTGTCGACAATTGTTAAAGACATGTGACGCTGTTCGTGACACCCCTCTGCCACGTGTGATCGGTGAGTACACTTGTCTATTTTATAGTTCTTTCATGTATCTATGAATTTATTGGTCCTAATAACGCTTTATTTATACAGAAAGTTAAAAAAAAAACCTATGAACATCGCTATTAATCCACCTGATTGCATTAACAGGCAAATCATAAAATCACTCAATATTATGCAGTATGTGAACTCGACCGGACAGGTAGCGAATGATATATACAGATATTAGTCATTTAAGGATTAAGATATTTCGTATATATAATATATACAAGTATAAAACTTAGAAGGTCACTACTTCTCGGACGCTAGCAAGGACCTCAGTGTTACGTTGGATGGGTTTGTGGTACGTTTACAAACTTACGACACTAAAATCTGTGGTTCGATTCCCCACAGGGTTTTACGTTGAAATTGAAAAATAGGCCTCGCCTGAGGTAATGTAGCGAAATCCTTCGTGCTCAATGGAGAGACAACGTCAATAGATAATCTACACTTGCTAGTTTCTGCGTATTATCTTGTAAGTTAGAGACAACAGAATTCACAAACATCGTTTTGATCAATGTTAAAGTGATTTAATACAGTTGAATAAACGAGATACTTAACACCGAAGGTTCATTTCTCTTAAAGCATACAATAATAGTTTTTAATCAACAGGACACCGGAGTATCTAAAGATCAGTTTTATTTGTCTCCAAGTAGGTTGAGCAAGCTATGCTCAAAGAACAATTCCAACTGTACAACAGGCGGCTGAAAGAATTTGAAGAAAAACAACGGGCTTACCACCGACGGCAAGAGAGGCACTTGTCACATCAGATCGAGGTACGGCTGTTTTAAAAATAAGGTTAACTTATATTTGTGACGCATTAGTGTCCTGTCACATAAAGATCGAGGTGTGGCTGTTTTAAGAATGAGGTTAACTTATCATATTTGTGACGCATTAGTGTCTTGAGGGGAGGTAGCTTTTTCTAAGGAGTTCGGTTTGTTACCGTTGTTCCCACATGGTACGGAGATTCCTGGTCTTGGGACAGGGGTAAGTAGTAGTAGTTTGACACAGGGTATGCAGAACCCTGGTCTAGGGACGGAGGTAAGTAGTAGTTTGACACAGGGTACGTAGAACCCTAGTCTAGGGACAGGGGTAAGAAGTAGTTTGACACAGGGTACGTAGAACCCTGGTCTAGGGACAGGGGTAAGTAGTAGTTTGACACAGGGTACGCAGAACCCTGGTCTAGGGACGGAGGTAAGTAGTAGTAGTTTGACACATGGTATGG